TTTTCTGAATGAATATTTGTAACAGCAAACCTAAACATTCACTAAGAAAATGGTTGAGTAGACTTCTGGCAGGATGGATAACTAGAGATATCGCTTGCAAGATGGTCCTGACGGGAAGGCAGGATATAGGATACAGAGATGGGAGAAGATTCGCAGCTCAGTTGTGGATCACAGAGAGAGATATCAGAGATGGCTGGGGATCCCAGGTAGAAAATTATGAAGCCAAGAAGGAAGAAGATAAAGAGAAGACATCGGCGAGGATTAAACCCAGAAAGGCTCGGAGCCCAGTGAAAGGGTAAGGGGGGATTCCCCTCTCCCTAATACATGCCTTCAGTGAACAGTGGGACAGTAAGTTTGCTGAAGGCTTTTCCACCCTCCATGAGCCCAGGCATGGCGGCAGATACGGAAGAGTGGGGTGAACTTGCGAGCCCATGGAGTTTTGGCACTCCATGAGGGGCACCCTCCAAGAGAGTGCCACGAGAAGCTAGAGTGCCAGCTTTCTCCCATCCAGACACTTCCAACCTTGCACCTCCCCTATCCGCTGCAACCGGTACTCGGGCTGACGTGAGCTGCGGCCCCTTCCCCACCCATTACAACCGCAAGCACAGTCTGACCTGAGAAGTTCATGAACAGCCGTTTCTTTCCGGCCGGTGTACACATCAGGCTGAGGTCTCCGCAGAGCGAGACTCACCTCTTCCTCTGGAGGAATTGTAGTGCAAGAGGGGTGTGCAATTTGGGAACTTCCTGCCCACCGGCATTTCACGGGGTTGCAGGCTGGCTGCTCAGATAAGGAAGCCGGTGCTTGTGTACCCAGGACTAGAGAGGGGTGCAAGGGGACACAGGGGACAAGTCTGGGAGCTGGACTTGGGTAACAAGGAAGCCCGCATGGACATATCCAACAGGAGAGTGTACTGGGGTGCTGAGGAATGGAGATCTAGGAGCATACAACCCGCCTACTGGAGAACCACCATATTGGATAAGGGTGTGGCATTCAGAGAGGAACAGCTCAGCCCCTGGTTCCATAGCAACCAAATGCCTCGTACTCAGGCCAGCTAGCTGACCGGGTGCTGCGGCCCCTGCCCCAATCATTGCAATTGGGAGTGCACTTTGAGCTGAGAAGTTCTATAGTGACCATTTCTCTCCGGCAGGCACGTGCTATAGGGTGAGGTCCTTACAGATAGTGGGACCCATATTCTCCCTCTGAGGACTTGTAGCGGAACAGGGGTACACAATTTTGGAGCTGCTACCCACTGGCATTTTGCCGAGATACATGCTAGTGGGGTCAGACATACAGACCACAGGGGTAGGTTTGAAAGCTGGACTTGGGTGGTGAGGAAGCACACGTGGACTGAACTGAGGGAAGTGTGCTGTGGGGGTCCAAGAAGTGGCGATTTGGTGGAGCACCACCCCACCACAAATAAACTCCATATCTAGATAAGGGCAGAAAGTTCCCAGCCCAAGGCCTTAGCACTCAAGCATTTAGGCCCCTCCCCTGTGAACAGCTGTCTGGGTTTGGAGAGCTCGTTCTGACTCCCATACCAGTGGCTCCCCCTAGTGGCCAGGAAAGCAACTTCTGAGCCCTGTTGAGGCTTTGTAAAAGCCTCTCAGGCTCCCACAACCTAGCCACAAACTTCATTGCTCCTTCCCCTACCTCAGTGGTGGTAGAGATCAAGCAATCCCCTGGGAGCTACAGGGTCTCTCCTAAAGCTTGGAACACTCAAGTATTCCAACGGAAGGAACAGACTTTACCATGGGCACAAAAGAACATCTTGGCAGCTGGCTCTTTCACACAAATATCAACCAATGACAGGGAGAACAATTCTATAGTTCATCAGAACGTTGTCCAACTCAAGCAAACGGGGTGTGGCTGATTCATACTCACAAGTACCATCCCCCGCATATCAGAGACTAAGCTGGGGGATTGAACACAATTCACACTACCGAGAAGAGGTGAAGACAGCAGGATAGAGGCAACTCCAGAAGATTATGAAACCTGCTTGAAAACCCCACAGGCAACTTGGGACCAGCACTCTTTTCCCTGGCAGAGTCAGGGATTGGTCTTTGGGGAGCTGGGGAAAGGCCCAGAAGGCAGGCCCAGTA